CCGACCCACACCCACACCCACACCCACACCCACACCCACTCACACCCACACCACCCACACCCACACCCACATCACCCACACCGACACCCACACCCACACCCCGAGAAGAGGTGGTTTTACAAAAGGAGTTGATACTTCTTTACCTCGACTTCCTATCATAATTCGTTGTTCAGGTGTAAGAATATAAACGTTGTTTGATTGAATCCAATCACTACCTAATATTAAATTTGTAACGAGATTTGTTGTAACATCAGCAATAATTTTTGTTTTTATTCCATTGACATTTATTTCTAAAGGTATTTCACCAATAATATTTAATGTAGAGCAATTTGCAGATAAATGATTTATTGTTTTTGGTATTAATTTTTCATGTGGTATATCATTTAATAGATGTTGATGTATAATAGTGATGGCCGATCTGGTATCAATTAGTGCTTTTGGTGGAGTGTTGTTGCATAAAATTTGGACGAAGATAGGATTGAATGTTGTTGAGGTTGATGACTTTTTGTCTCCACAGGGATCGTCGCCATCATCCGATCCCCTTATTCGAAAAAATGTTGTTGAGGACAATCACGTATGTGATGATTTGATTGTCCACATTTAAAACAGCAGTTGTACTTCTTATAAAAACACTTTGTTGTTGTATGATTGTTCCTATTACAAATTAAACATGCATTTAATTGTTGTGTTTTGTTACCTGAATAATCTTTTCGATAGTGTTGGGAAATTAAATGACCATTTTGTGTTGTATGTGTTCGATTATTTGCTGTTGTTGATTGTTGTTTTTTATAATAATGATGAGGCATCAATTGTTGTCGATTCGATGAATGAACAGTTGTTGATGTTGGTTGAATTATTTCTGTTGGTAATGCATGTTCAAAAAATGCTGGATTTTTTGGTTCATAATTTGAGGTATTGGTTTTTGGTTGAATTCGTTTTTGTATTTATTCTTCTTCTCTTGCAAATTGCAACCATTGTTCTGGTTTTTTAATTTCTTTTTCATTACGAACTAAATGTGGTTTTAAGGAATGTTTAACACCATTTTGTAACACCATAATGACTTGTTGTTCAGTAATACATTGTTGAAACTTCCTGTATTTTCGAATAACATTTTCATAAAATGATATAACAGATTGATTTTCTTCTTAATGAATGTAAAAAAATTCTTGTATTAGTTGACTGTCCGATGTAAATTCTTTAAATCGATCTCGTAATGCTTTTTCAGCATCACTCCAATTGGTAAATAATTGTAAATTATCTTGATACCATCGTAGTGCTGGTCCTGTTAATTTGCCCATTGTTTCAAGAATTCTTGTTTCATCTTTTAATTTCATTAATGAAAATAAATTATTTAAATCGAATAACCATTCATCAATATCGATTTCATTAGCTTCTCCTGAAAATTCAGCAATTTTCTTCATCGCTTCTTGTTGAATTGAATGAAGTTGTCGAGTTTCCATTGCGGTTGTGTCCATTTCTTGCATAGATAAAATATCGTTTAATTTTTTATTTCGTAAACGTGTTGGTGAATTAGTAATTAATTCGTATGATAAAAGATTTGCTCTGCTTTTTTTAATCGCTCTTCTTGTACCGGTAGCCGTTGTTAGATATATGTATATATATATATATATATATGCACTTAAAAGAAGGACAAAAAATTTGAACTTTATATAGAAGACATATACCTTCTTATTTTAATTAAATTTTGAAATAAATTTGTATGTAGTTGTGTATCTTCTCTCTCCCAGAAAGATGAGATCGTATATCACTCTTTCCGTCACGGATGAGTTAATTAATTAATAAGTTCGTTCTTCTTCGTTGTAGTAAATAGAAGAAGATGGGTTACGGCACCAAATTGTTAGCTCGATTTTACGAGCTTAACGTGAATGTTTATTTCACTAGAAGAAATCACACTGTTTACATCGTACGATAACATAATATATAAGAAAAGAAAACAAACAAAAGAAAAACATATAGAGAAGAGAGAATAGAGAGAGAAAGAAGAAGAAGAAATGCGCAACTAGGTACAAATGTATGTACCGCTAACACTTTTCCACCGGCAGAACCATTTTTAATGAGCAGTATGAAATGGTTTTTGAGGTTGATTCCAGAACCTTTTTTCATGCAGAACCATTTGTGAGGGTTCTGTGTTTTATCCGATCGCAGGACCCCTAAAAAGGTTCTGTGCACTCCCTTTTTTTCAGAGTGGGAAGGTTGTCAACTCTTAATAACAAATATATCGATCATAATATTATGTTTTCATTATACGAGCATAAACATGTGGCCTTGCTCGCATATTTTTCTTTTGCCTTCTTCCGCGTCTTACATAATGTACACTTCAATAGTAGACACAGTAAAAAATTCTTGTTGCATCAATACTCTAAAAGAACAACAGCTGTAGCAAAATATTTTTTTCTTCTCTGATACTATAATTTATGTTGCATACTAGATGACTGTTACAAACTACTATTATGTTAGTCTATGTCGGATCCCTTGTTTTCTAATTCTTAGTTTTTCATCAAGAAAACCGAGATAAAAAAAATGGCAAACATATGTAACCGCTTTCATTATGAGGAAAAGCAAAGAAAAATAAAACGACAGAGAAAAGAAAAGATAGTGGATGAAAAATAACGCTACTATCAAGCATGTTGATTCAAGAATAGATGATCGTAGTAATTTTGAGAAAAATCCAAAGAATTTCTATTAATAGAAAAATATGATTGGATATATCTTCAACAGATTTAGTATTTACGCTGAATCGAGTCTAAATAAAAATGCATCTTTCTCAACATGTTTTTTTCATATATAAATACCTATTAGAAACACATTATCTATTTGCATAAAAATCTACAAACATGATGAAATTTTTTTGACTTCTTGAAATGTAATTTTTTTGTCTTTTTTGACTGTTCATGTACTCTGTATGGTATTTAATGTGCCAATAATGTATGGACATCCTTTATTGTTCGCAAATTAACGTGTCCATTTTTCTTTAGTATCCTCTGAGACTGTTCTACAGAAAGGAGGAATAATTTCTTATCTGTGTTATACAATATGTCATTCTCAATCAGTGTTGTATAATCTACTACTATCATCAATCTCTCTAGTCTTCTTATTAAGGTTAGCCGTATATCTTTGCGTAACACGATTACATCTTTAAAAGTAATTCGTGCAATGCGATTATGCCTATCATATATTTTTCTGTTCTTCTCTCTCTCTTTTGTGCGCGTATATAAAGCGTGTGCTTTGTGTTGTACAGCAGAACTGGAATGATGTAGAACGTGAAAAAGTGTAGAACGTTAACATCATGTACACCGAGGATAGCGGTAACAATACTAGTCCAGTTTCTCTTTGTGATCACAAATAAAATTAATACTGCAGTAGTAACGAATACAACTATCCATCATTATAACATCAATGCATATTAAAAGAAAATTCGTTATATTTAACACCATTATCAACTGAATTTTCTATGTCTTCTGCCAATTTTCATTGTTTTCCCAAGTCAATCCGTACGCTCTAAGTATGCGTACGACACATTCTGTGCGCTTGGTACGCGTTTCGTTGTTTTGTGTTTTTAGATCTCGTCTCTTCCAGCGTTTTAGTGTTAATGTTACATGAAATCAGAATAATTCAAAACATAAAGCGACGATACCACAAAGATCAAATTTATTAATTTTTCTCGGGTAACAATTTTTTTTTATAATTATAAAAAGAAATTTTTCATAATTATTTAATTCTTTATTTTTATAATTATAATCAAGTATTAATAAGTAAATTTAAAAAAAAACAAAAACATTTACAATAGTAATTAGCGTCACAAAGTCGATTGGTTGAGACAAATGAATTTATAGAAGAAACCAAGAAGAAAATTACTGAACTGCATCAATGCACTTTCTCGTACGGGTTTAATCCTTTCCTTTTTTTTTATTTCTCGTTCTCATCATCGTATTTCTTATTGTTATCATTACTTGTTCTTATTTTCTTTTTTATGTATTGTGAACATCATTACATAGGAACAATATAAATAAATGTTTAAAAAAAAATTTGTTCGATGATCGTTAATTCATAGTTTAGAAATTCGCTTAAATATATGAAACCATATTTGAAATCGACTGTCCCAAATTATATTAATTCTATACGAATAATAATTTCACCATTCTTTTGTTGTAACAGGTGATCGAAAAGTTTTTGGACAAAATGTTCAAAGCTGAAACATATATATAAAAGCTATCGAAACACTTTATTTTTTACTAATTACATAGCTTGTCTCTCTCTTTACCTATGGTATCAATTTGAGATTTTTCAATTGATCCATTGTTGTCAAAATGATTGATCTTCGTAGATGTATTTTTTCTGTCCTTGGGCAAAAAAATAATAACGAGAATGCATAATAAATGCCTGCATTTTGTATCTGCTATTGTTATGTCTAAAGATGTTTTATTAGAAAAAACACAATATACAAGTAGAAGATGCAGCGTGAAAAGTTCTACAATCTACAAAGTAAAGCTTATTTTAGTTGTGTACTTTTCGTTTTCAGAAAACGCAAAATTCTGTGCAATTAGTTTTTGATGTTGCAAAAAGATTATTTTTTCTATGCGAGTAATTTCTTTTTTTTGTTTATTTCATATTTCTGTCACCTAGGGCATTTTATTTAAAAAAAATAACAGAATATACCACAAGATGCAGCGTGAAAAATTCTATAATCTACCAAGAAAAGTTTATTTTAATTGTGTGTTGTTTTCTTTTCAAAAAAGCGAAATTCTATGCAATCAATTTTCAACGCTACGAAAAGAAATAACTCGTGTAGCAAGAAAAAATGATATTCTTCTTAAAGTCGAAAATTGGTTGCATGGAATTTTACGTTTTTTGAAAACAAACAGTACACAACTAAAATAAACTTTACTTTGTAGATTGTAGAACTTTTCACGCTGCATCTTGTACTTGTATATTCTTTTTTTTCTAATAAAACGTCCTTAGACATAACAGTATCAGATACAAAATGCAGGGATTTATTATTCACTTTCGTTATTATTTTTTGGGGTAAATACCAACTAATAGCTAAAAAAATAGCAATCTGTATCTAATTTTAAAATAAATCTATATCTAATATAGGATGAATTTATATCTAATTAAGAAAATAATATATCTAATTTTAAAATTTATTTATATCTAATTAATAATTAAAATAACAGAAAAAAATAAAGATACAATTATCAATTATAACAAAAAAACACAGCAAAAAAAAGAATAATATTGCACAATTAATGCTTTTTTAACTCATTCAATAAAGCAAATCAACATGTAAAATTTGAGTAGTTTTTTTTTTTTATTATTGTTTTTTAAATTATTTTAGTGTTTTTGTTTGTTTCTTTTTGAATTTGCAAAAGAGATATGTAGAATAAGAAGAAAAAAAGGAGAGAAAAATAAAGTAAAATAAAGAACAATAAGAGAGAACAAACAAATAGGTATAATAAATCAATAAATAAATAAACAAAAAAAAAAGACAAGTAATTTTTTTATATTATTCACGCAAAGCCTTTCGAATGTTTCTTTTCCAAGCGACTAAAAAAAATTACTTGTCTATTTTTTTGTTTATTTATTTATTGATTTATTATATCTATTTGTTTGTTCTCTCTTGTTGTTCTTTATTTTTCTCTCCTTTTTTCTCGTGATTCTACATATCTCTTTGACAAATTCAAAAAGAAAAAAAAAACAAAAAATAATTTAAAAAAAAATAAAAACTACTCAAAATTTACCTCTTGTTTTGTTTTATTGAATATATTTTTTAAACCAACTTTTTTCTTGTCACTTATTGTCATTCCTAGCTCATACATACTCTTTCAGTTAATTGATAAGTACTAATCAATTATAGATTACGTTCAAATTAATTAGATAATGCGATAAATTGATTGATAGTCATTTGTTAAAAGTGATAATATATTCAATTAAAAGACAGAACATTTTTTATTTCAGCAATTTGATTGATTTAAAAGATGTTTAATTAAAAAATTAGGCTAAACAATTTTTTAAAAGTATTCTTTCACCGAAATAAATACTACTGTATTGAATTAGGAAATATTGATATCATTTAGATATAGATTGCTATATTTTTAGATATTACTTAAAATGCATGCCAAAAGAAACATATATATGTATACACGTATATATATATACATATACATATATGACAGGAAAGGAAAAAAAAACATATATATGTATGCATATATATTTTACATATACATATATGACAGGAAAGGAAAAAAAACATATATATGTATACA